CTGGCGGCGACCGCGGCCCTTGCCGACCGGCTCCTCGACCGGGGCGGTGGTTTCGCTTGAGGCCGTTGTCGGTGGTGCCCGCATCGTGATCGGGGCCGTTGCCGACCGGGCCGCCATCGGCGCCGAACGGCGGCGACAGATCGTCATCCGCCTTGACGCCGAGCGCGGCACCGACATCGCGGCGCTTCTGGGCGCGCTGCCACGACGTTGTACGAGCCGTCGTCGGCGGAAGGCCGAGACCTGCAGCGGCGCGGCGAGCGACGGATCGTCGATGCGGCCGTTCAGGAACGCCTCGCCGGTGTTGTTCGAGGTGAGTTCGAAGAACGCCCCGACCTGCACCCACGTCCGGCCCAGGGTGAGCGCGTGGATCTCGTAGCGCGGCGCGCGCGGGTTGGACGACTGGACCGGCTTGAGCGCGATCGTCATCGCGACGGCGAGGGTGGAAATGCGGCCCATGAAAATGCCCGCGTCGTTCTGCTTGATCTGACCGATGTTCGCGACGTGTCTCCTGTGATGTCGTGCTGGACCCCATGTCCTCGACACCGATCTTCAATCCTCCTCCCCCGGCCCCCTTCGGCCGGGCAGGGCGCGATGAGCGCCCTCACCGACCGCGTCTTCACGCGGACGGTGGATCGTGCAACAGGCGGACGATGTCGGTGCTCAGTGGGCGAGCTGGTCGGTGAGCGCGGTGCCGATATCGGCGTGCGCCGCGGCGAGCGCGCCGATCGCGCGGCTGACGACGTCGGTCGCCTCGTCGCTCGGATCGATGCACCAGCATTTGCCGGCGTGGCGGATGTCGATCAGCCGGTCGGACTTGTTGTCGATCCTGAACGTGTAGCCTTGACGCTGGTCGAAGCCGGCGACGGTGACGTCGGTCGTTTTAGCCTTGATCGTGACGACGGGCGCGACCGCGTGGTCAGCAGCACGGTATCGCGCGGCGTTTGCGCCTGTGGGACCAGCGCGGGTGCGGGCGGCTTGCCGAGCGTCGGCATCTTCGGGATCGGCACGAGGCCGTTCACCGCGTCCTGCGCCATGTCGGCCGCCATTGCAGGTCGCCATGAAGATGGCGGTGCGCGCGCGAGATCCTGGGCGATGGCTTCGCGGTGCGGCTCGGTCAGCGTGGGCAGGAGGTGGCAGAGTTTGGTGTCGAGCGCGAAGGCGACGGGCTCGGCGTTGGGATCGATGCACATGATCGTGACCTTTCGGCAAAATGCCCGGACCCCATGTCCGGGATGCCGATCCGGTCCCCTCTCCTTCCGGCGCAGCCGGTACCGGCATCGTCGCGAGGCGATGCCGTGCCGTTCAGCGAGGCGGTCGCGGATGTCGCATGAGGCGCTTCCGGGCGGCCGACAGATGATCGATCGAGCGTTGCGGAAGAAGGCGCGCGCTGTCGGATTGAGTGTCCCCAACCGGCGTTCGAGCGCCGTGATACGGTGGTGGATCGCATCGATCGTCAGCATGATATCGTCGAACGAAGAGCGCGACGACGGTCTGCGGATAGGGATAGGGCAGCGCCGGCGCGACGAAGGCGAGGAAATGGGGCTGCACGGGCAAATGGTGCAGGAGGGCGGTCGCGACCGCGCGGCGGATCTGGGGAGCGCCGTGGACGAGTTCTGCTAGCAGCACGTCCATCGCCATCGGGCGGACGATGCGCAGTGCGCCGGGGTCGAGGTGACGGCGATCGGATCGGTCGAGGCGAGACCGATGACGCCCTCCGACAGGATGGCGAGAACGTCGCCTTCCTCGATGCAGGGACCGTCATCGAGACAGGCGTCATGCGCGGCTTCGCTGGTGTCGAAATAATGGACGCGACCATGGGCTGGTCCCTTTCTGCTGGGTCAGGAATATTCCGGGCGACGTGCGGGGAAACCGCGTGGGCGGGAGGCCGGAGAAGCTGAAGCGCGGAAGCGGTCTGCCGGTGTAGGCAGCCGTGAATCCACCGGCGGGCGATGCGCTGCAGGCGCTCGAGCAGCCGGTTGGCGCGGCGCATCGCCGCGACCGCGGCCTCGTCGGCGTGGTAATGGAGGCGATCACGCGGACAGAAGGTGCCGGTGGTGTCGTACCGTAGGGTAGGCAGGGTGGCGTCTACGAGAACACCCCCACTGCCCCCCTCCGAACCGGACGTGCAACTTTCACTGCATCCGGCTCTCCGCTCCGGGCACTGTCGAACGAAAGTCCGGCAGCTTCCCTGCATGAAGGAGTTGTTGATGAGGAGGGCGCGCAAAAAAGCGGCCTCGTCTTCCGGGCCCGTTCGGCGTGAAGCCTCCGGAACACCGGCCCATCCCTCATGCGACGCACGGGGTTGCTGTGGTGAAGATGGAACGGTCCATCGGTGCCGCCACATGCGGAGTGCTTGGGCGAGCACTCGGTCAATCCAGGTTGGTCCTGCTTAACCGAAGAGCTTCCGTGCGAGGCGTGTTGTCGACCGACGGCCAGAACACCGGCCTACGATCGAGTTCCGCCAGTCGCCAAACCGCGATCCTCCTCTCATCCTCCCAACGCCGATACGCACTACGTACCTGCCCGGGCCAACCCCTGAGGCGCCGGGCGAAGCCATTAGGCTTGTCCGATGCTTGTGCGCGAGCGTCTTGAACAACTACCGCGCCAGAGAAACTCGGAGCTTGTTGAGTGCGCCTTTCACATCCACGGCCAAAGGCATAGTAATTTGCAAAGCCGCGAAGTTCGGCGTTGTAGACCTTGACGATCTCCGCATCATCCATGTGAAGCAGGCCCGGACGGTGCACAGCCCGTCCCAAGTCGAACTGACCATAGCCGTGCCTCTGGCTGAACGATTGCACCTTGTCGCGGGACCAGCAACTGAATTTGATCCGTCACCGTCCGCTTGACTGCGACGATGCCCGTCCGTGCCCGTTGTTTGACGAGCCGGTCGGACGCCGTGCGAGTGCGCACGTCGTAGCCATGGAACCTTGCTCCCTTCCGAGCCTCGCGGATCCCGCTTTTCAACGGGGACGTTCGGAGCTCAAGCTCGCTCGCGAGGAAGCCCTCGATGGCGGCCTTGATCTCTTCGGCCTCGGCCCGGCTGCCGATAACCCCAGAAGGAAGTCGTCGGCGTACCGGACGTAGCGAAGGCGTCGAAAGTCTGGATCGAACGGGTCCGTCGCGGGTAGCTTGCGCATCGCCGCGAGCGTCTCCTTTTATTCGGTCCAGCCATGGTTGGATTTCATCAACCTGCCCTTTGTCACGCAGCGCAGCCACGCGCTTCCGGGCGTACTCGGAACGGCGCTGAAGGTGCCTGTATTCCGCCGATTTGCGACGTTGGGCACCCTTGTCGAAGCCAGCGACGAGCCCTTCCACATAATGGTCAAGCTCGTGCAGGTAGACGTTCGCGAGCAGAGGCGAGACGATGCCTCCTTGCGGCGTGCCACTATAGGTTTCGATGGAAACGCTGCTCCAGATACCCTGTTTTCAGCATCGCACTGATGAGAGCGGTAAACCGCCTATCATCAATGCGACGTTCAAGCAGGCTCAACAATTTCTCGTGAGAGATGTTGTCGAAGTATCCTTCGACATCGACTTCGATCAGCCACTTCACGCCCTTCCATGTCTTGCGGACATGGTCGAGCGCCAGGTGATGACCGCCCCGTCGAAAGCCGTGTGACCGATGTCGTTGCCCCCTAATTGCCTGACGAGGCCTCGCGGGTTTGGGTGATGTACTCGCGGGGTGATCGGTAGCCCTAGCGCCTTGTGCGGATGGACCTCATTGTAGTGGGTTAGCCAGCGGGGCGGTTGCTCGATGACGGTGCGTGCATCGGGCGTCGGGTTTACACGGACGTAGTCGCGCTTGAGGGTGCACGAAAGCTTCGGCCATGCCGTTCGATTGCGGAGAGCTGACCGGCGTGGTGCGGGGTACGAGGCCGATGTCGCGCGCGAAGCGGCGAGTATCGTGAGCAACGTAAGGGCTGCCGTTATCGCTGAGCCATTCAATGGGCGAGGCCAAGCGGTTCACCGGGTAAAGCGATGCTCGACAGTGGCGACCATCAGATCACGGATGTCCTCGGCGGTGATGCCGCCGGTGGTAACAACGTGCCCCATGGCCTCGCGGTCACAGCAGTCGAGTGCAAAGGCGACGCGCACCTTTTCGCCATTGTCGCAAGCGATCTCAAGGCGTCAGAGCACCAGCGGGTGTTGCGCCGATCGACGGCAACGCGACCATCATGGCGCCGCTCCTCCCGGCTGCCGTTGTGGCGCTGAAGCAGCAGCCCGTGCACCTTCGCGACCCGGTGAACCCGCTGGGATTGGGCGCTGTGCGCCCGATCACGGCAACTGGCGGCGCAGAAGGGCGTGGACCCGGCGATAACCGTAGGTGGGCAGATCGGCGATCAGCGCCCGGATGTCGCTGACCAAGTCGGTATCCGGTAGAGGCGGTCGACCTCGCCGACGTAGGCGACCGGTTGTGCATGGCTGACAGGTGCTGGCGGCTGACGCCCAACGCCTCGGCCACCGCGCTCACCGGTCGTCCCCCGGCAACGAGATCGAGCGCAGAGGGTTTTTTGGGCCTGCGGCCCGGGAGACGGCCTCCCGCAGTATCTCGGCTTCCATAGTCTTCTTGCCCAGCAGGCGCTGCAGCTCGGCGACTGGTTCTGCAGCGACCGGTACTCGGAGGCGGGCACCACCTCCTCGCCGGCACCGGCGGCAGTCAGCGCACCCTGCGCAACCAGCCTGCGCCAGAAGATCTGGCTGCCACTGATGCCATGCTGCCGGGCTACCAGCGACACGTTCATGCCCGGCAGATACGTCTCCTCGACGATCCGGACCTTTTCCTCCGGGGTCCAGCCTCCGGCGCTGAACCCCTGAGAAGGACCCTCGCCGCCATTGTAGCGCCTAGTCGTATGCTCAGTCATATGGCTCCTCTTATCTAAAGCGAGACCCTGTCAGGTCATTTCGAGGGCCAACTCAGCCCGATCAGAGAAGATCGGTTCTAGACTTCGTTCAGGATCATCCTGACCACTTCCTGCACCAGTCGGTCGGTTGCAGTCAGGATGCCGAGCGGTCTTGTTTTTACCGTTGGTCTTGGGGATGTGGACGCGCCTGACCGGCTGCGGGCGATACGTGCCCGCCGAGAGTTGCGCGATCACCGCATCGATCCGGCTTTCGTCGAGATCGGCGGCCTCACGGTCGATGCCGGGGTCTCTGCCCACGGTTCTGTTGGATGCGGCCCAAAAGCTTCCACCCACAAGGAGCAGGATAGCAGCAGTCGGAACACACCGTTCACACGTTTGCCGGTCAAGGCAATCGTTCCGTGATTCAGCCTTTTCAAGGCGGCACAGGGTTGCATCAGCAGACCTCCGCCCAGTTCGATGCTGGATCGAAGCTGCCGCACTTCCCCGCTCGGTTGCGCTTTCGCTCGGGTCAGTTTGAACTTATACGGCCGACCGTCCCTCACCGAGGCAAAGGGCTGTCCCGGCAATTACGCCGGGTGTTCGGTAATATTAGTGGCTCCGCCGCCATACAGGTCGATAACTCGACCAGCTACAGGCGGTCCCGTAGTTACGCGTGAAGGAGATAAGCTAACGGTCTTAGGTGGCCTTTTCATCTCTAGTCCTCCGAAGAGGTCACGCAAACAAAGGTTGGCCGGTCAAGTCGATGGTACGGACTTGGCCGCTTCTCGGGTCCGAGCTGGTAGAGTGGACCCGACGCGTCGGTGCGAGGTTTTCAGTCGCTTTCCTCGCCGCCAGGGTTTAGGCCGCGAGATTGGGCTTCACGCAGTGTAAGCGTTCACCATAACCGTCTTGCCTCGACCCGTTGCTTCAATGCGACTATTCACTTTGGGCCCTTTTCCGAGCATGCTATGGTCCCGTTCTCCTTTCGAAGTTTCAGCCCGGGCACCAGTAAGCTCGGTGGGCAGATGCCATTGCCAACAAGCATCACGTCATCAGACGCACTCCCTCTCGCGCCACAACGGCGCACACCATCCCCTTCACTCGGGGCCGCCCGAGGGCACGGTCGATTTCGTAGAAGGCGGATGCTGCGCATGGGGTCAGCTCGGTTGTCACCGGGTCGGATGATCCTCCCGGTTCATAACAGCCGGTCCCCTTCCCCCTTCCTCAGACGTCCGGTGCTTCGTCAGGACGCTGGTGGCGCAGCGCACGCGCGAGCGCCCGCTGCAGGCGGTGCGCGCGACAGATAGGCGCCCGAGAGGCGAGGTGTGACAAGCTGTTGTCAGACACGACCCAGCCCGTTGCGGTATGGGCGACGTGCATCCCGTCGCTGCGCGCGAGGGGGTGGTCGTGACAGGCGCGCCGCCTGATCGCGGCCTCGGCGATGAGCTGGCCGGCAAGCGTGTTGCGATGCGACGCGATCCGGCTGTCGGGCGCAGCCACGACTTCGGCCGCGCGTGTCAGCAGCGCAGCGAGGTCAATGTCCGACATCGGCGCCAGGTTGGTCGCGGATCGCGCGGGTTCTTCCCCAGCTTTGTCGAGCATCAGCACGAGGATCGAGGGCTTGATCTCTTCGTCGAGCGGTCGACTGTCGGCGACGAACTTGCCGCCACGCGTGATCGCGAACGCGTTGAAGGTGGGTGATACCCGTTATCGGCGTTGGGATCGTGGTGCCGCGGTCGTGGAACTGGATGTCGATGAAGCGGGGCGGGCCACCATAAGTGGATTCGAGAAAGCAGAAGGTGACGCGGCGACCCTCGCTGGTCTTCGCCGTGATCGTGAACGCCGTCGGGCGTCGGATTGGTTTTGTGCAGCACGTCGTTGCCAGCCGGCGAAGCCCGCGGCGATCGCGTCGGCGCGCGTCATGACGGGGAGATCGGTGATATCGGGCAGTGAAAAGCTCCTTGCTCTGGATCAGGCGGCACGCTTCAGCGCGATCAGGTCGGAAAAGCGGTCTCGCACCGCGCCGGCATTAAGGATAGAGATCGGCGAGACCGTGCCGCGAGAGGATCAGTGCGCAGGACGCGGCGATGATGCCGGCCTCCTCGATGGTGGGAATGCGCGGCGGCCAGCCTTTGACGTAGCGCAGGTCGGGCGGCATCGCGGCTTCGAGCCGTCGCCGCTCGGCGGCATCAGCCTGGCGAGGGAAATCGGTTCCTCAAATTACCCGGTATGTGACGCGGTGCGACGTCGGCGAGCCAGCGTGCGGGCTGGAACGAGAAGGTTGAGGTCGCCTCGAGGCCGACCGGTGGAGCAGCGCAGGACGGTTCGCCAGTGCCGAAGCCGATGCACAAGGCGTCGCCGAGCGATTGAAGGACGCAAAAGCGGCGGCGACAGTCGTGACGACTGGTAACGGGTGTAGGCGACGTGCAGCGGGGATGCCGAGCGTATCGTGCGCGGCGAAGACCTGTGGTGTCGTCCAGTGCGCGATCGGGTTCCACAGCATCATCGCGGTGCCGTGCGGATTGCCGGCAGCGGCGTAGCGCGCGTCTGCTTTCCATTCGGGTGTGCGTGACCGAGCGATGCTCTCGTCGCGGCGCAGTCCCAGCACGTTTGATAGTCTGGCCGCGCAACAGTCTGGCGAGGTGCGGCCCGATGACATGGGCCTTCATCTCTGAGGTGCAGAAGCGCAGCGCCGAGGATGACGGGGACCGATCAGATTATAGGTTTCGAGTGCCTCGTAGCGCGCCTTGCCGTTGGCAAAGCGCGTGGCCCAGCGGTCGAACAGGTCGCCGGCGTTGCGCCGGACGATCGTCAGCAGGACGCCGGCGTGGGCCGCGGATCCTCGACCGTCGCGGGCGTTTCGTCCCCATTCGGCACGGCCGGGTCGGCGTGAATGGCGATACGCCGCTCGCGCAGATGGCCGAGCGCATCGAGGATCAGGTTGACCGCGAACATCGCGGCCGAGCTGTCCTTGCCGCCCGAGAGGTTGAAGACGATCCATGCGCCGCGTTCGACCGCGTCGAGGATGGCGGGCGGCAGGGCGAGGGCCGGAAGGCCGGCGACCGCCGCGTCCGATGTCGATGAACATGGCCGTTCAGGCCGCGAGCGGCGCTAGGCGCGCCAGCCACTCCGGGGTTCGTCGTTGGCGATGACCGGATCGTGTGCGCGGGCCTCGGCTTTCGAGAACACGGTCGCGCTGGCGAGTGCCCTGAAAGCCGTCGTCGTTGTTCCAGAAGACGGCGTGGCCGTCCCTGGTCGCGCGAGGCGAGCACGAAACCGAAGCGACCCTCGTGACCATGGGTGTCGGGGATCGGCTGCGGCGCTGCGCGCGGCGCGATCGAGGATGTCTGGGTGCTGTGGAACGTCAGCCCCCGCGTCGGTAATGATGACGCAGCCGCTTCGGAACTCGCCGGGGGCGCAGCCGGTCGCAGTCGGAGATCCATGCGAACCCGCAGGGGAGCGCGGACTTACAAGCGCGGAAGATGAGCTGGGCGACCTGTTCGACGCCGAATTGATCGCCGCTGAAGAATACGCGCGCGTTCCTGTCTTCGCCTTTCCAGTCGATGTCGATCGCGCAGTCGAGATAAAGGAAATGCCAATCGTCAGAATATCTCGGAAGCTTTCGAACTTCATCGGCCCCTTCGCCGGGAACACGGCGTGAAACGCAGGATCAGGCGCGTCATATTCGTGGGCGAGGTCGGCATCGTCGCCGTTGGTGTCGAGGATATCGACTGCCTGTTCGGCAATGGTTAGCAACGCCGCGTCGGCGTGGCTCATGGTCAGCAATGAACGCGGCCTTGGTGTAGGTGTTCGCCATGGAATGCTCCGAAATGATGGGAAATCGCTCTGTGCGGTCGCGCTCAGGCGTCCGCGGCCTCGGCGAGACGCGCGTTGGCGGCCGCGGCCTCGGCAGGTAAGCCTGCGTGAGATTGCCGTGCAGGACCGCGAAATCCGGGATCAGGAAAAGACCGTTCGGCCCAGGCCGGGTAATCAGCAGCGCGCTGATGATGGCATCGGCCGGATCGGCATGGACGATGGTGGGCGTCTCGCCGTTATACTCGACCGGCGCGGTGAAGCCCGCCTCGCGCCAGTGGCGAGTCCCTCCTCGACGCGTGTCGCATAGTCGGCGACGGCCTCGTCGAGCTCGTTCTCGATATGGAGGACGACAGGTTCGACGCAGCGACCGAAATCGTGTCAGTTGGACAGGCCGGCGAGGCGGCATCCAGGGCGGCGGGCCGTAGCGTGCGATCAGCGCGGACTTGTAGACCGCGATTTCGAGGCGGTTGAGGCTGTCGAAGTTGGGCGACTGGCCGAGTTGCGCGCAATCCTCCTCGGCGGGACCGGCACCGAGATCGATAAAATATGGCATGGGGCTCTCCGTCGATCGTCATTGATCGACGCGCCCATCCCCTCCCCTTTCTTGTCGGGTACTCAGTCGCCGAAGAAGCGGCGCTTGATGGCGATCTGCGCCTCGCCATCGGACTGGCCGAGGGTCATCAGCCGGTCGGTCTCGAGCGTGATCGCGAGATCGGCGGGAAGATCGGCCCAGCGTGAGGCGATGGTGACCGCGGCGGCCGCTGTGGTCAGCTCGCCGGGGTGCGCGCCATGCCATGCGACGGTTTCGTCCTCACCCGTGAGATGCAGGTGCGGGCGCGCACACTGACGAAGAAGGTGCCAAGCGGGCGGTCCCACCCGGTGCTGACGCTGGTGCCGGGTTCGATACCGGGAAACTGGTGGCGGCTCATGGCGATCCTTTCAGGGTCAGTGCAGCGAGATCCACTCGCCGTGCCGGGGCGGGTGCGGGTAGAAGCGAAGAACGCACGGAACATCGGTTTCGCCGCTGGCGAGGCGTTCTTCCAGCCAGAGGATGTAGAGCGCGGCGTCGGCGAGATCGCCGGCGAGCAGATCGTCGAGCATCGCGGCCTCGCGCGCGGTCTGTTCGTCGAGCGCGGACCAGTCCAGCGCATCGAGGAAACGGTCGCGTCGATCGGTGTAGCGCGCGATGCGGGCAGCGTCGGCACGGACGCTGGCGATGGCGAGATGGATATCCACGGGCGGTGCTCCTTCCGGCATGTCGGTGACATGCCGCCCGCTCCTGCTCCCTTCCCTCGCGCCGCTGGCGCGGGGATCATGCCGCGAGGATTTCGCGGATCGCGTCGCTCCGGCGCGGATAGGCGCCGGGGGCAGATCGCGCGCGGTGCGCCGGGCGTCGCGCGTCAGCTCGAAGCAATAGGTGAATAGCGGCTTTGCCGGTGCGGGCGGAGCAGATTGTCGGCACGCAGGCCGCGCGAGCCAGTCGGCGGGGTGTTCGTGCGCCTCCGGCCTCGGCGCACCGAAGCCGCACCAGCTGGTCGATCGCCCGGCATGGCCGGATCGAGGTTGCGGATCTTCGATGGCGTTCTCTCCGAGATCGTCTCGCCGGCGATGCGCAGCACCGTCCGCGGCCTCGTGCGGCCGCGATAGGCGCGCCGACAGCGCGGCATAGACGACGCCGCAATGGCCGAAGGCGGGATCGAGAAGCTGACGACAGCGTCGATCCGGGGCTTGGCGAGGGCGCAGGAGGCGGAAGGCGCGCGACGTGAAGAAGCTTTCGCCGTTCGCGGCGACCGAGGGCAGGCAGATGAGCCGTTGCAGTACGCAGCCCCGAGCGGATCAGCATAACCGGTGTGCCGGGTGATGACCGCGCCGGTCGCCGGCGCCGAACACGATGAGACCGACCAACGTGGATCTGCCAGGGTCGCCCGGACCGAACAGCCCGCAGGCGAGCTGGGCGGCAGGATAGCGCAGGAGGTAATGATGGTCGGCGAGGAATGCGCGGGCAGTATCATGGGCGACGACATCGACGGCGTAGGCGCGGGTCGATCACGCTGTCGCCGGCAACGAACAAGCTGCGCCGGTCGCGCCAGCGCTGGGAGCGGTCGGTGAGCATGGTTACCTCCGTCAGGCCGCGTCGGTAGATCTCGGCCGCCCGGTCTCGATCCATCCGGTGGTGATCTCATCGTGATCGAGATCGCCGCTCTCGATCAGGGCGCGGATCTCGGCGCGAGCCTGCGCGATCGCGCGTTCCCGGGGTCGGCGGGTTGGTGGCGGTGGAGCAAGACGCCGCGGCCTCGGGCAGGTGTCGCGGTGTTTCCGAGCGTTCGCGCGCATTGCGTGCGATACCAGCGTTCCATGAAGTCGGCGCCGAGCGCGTCGGTCTTGGCGATGCGATGCCTGAGCGCGTGCTGTCGCACGCCTACGCCCCATCCGGCTGTCTATCGAGGCGATCCAGCGTGCGAACGGCGTGGTACGGCAGGGCATCGCCTTTCACCCCGAAGAGGTGCGCCTTGACGCCGATCGGCAGGATGCGGGTCAGCCGCTCGACGACGGCGATCAGCCCTTCAGGACCGTGGATCGGTCGCCGGCACATGCTGCCGATGCCGACGACGGTGCAGGCAGGATCAGACCGCCGATCGCGTCGAGTGAACGGACGTAGTCGTCGGGCACGCGGCCCTGCAGCACGGGCATCAGCCGGTCGCGGATGGCCAAGTCGTCGGCGCGGGCAAAAGCATTCTCGGTTGGTGGCGGTGGTGCGCGCGATGCGGTCGAGCACTTCCCCTCGCGGTCGTGGGCAACGCCCTCTTCGCAGCAGTAATCGACCGACGAGATGCGTCGGAACAGCCATGACGCGGCGAGCGCCATGTAATCGGCGATGCTCGGGAAGCCCGCCATAGCGGACCATCATGGTGTAACCGGCGGAATCGAGTCGACGCTGGCGAGCGGTCGCGCGTTGGCGAGCGTTCCGGTGCGCCATCCGACCACTCGCCAGCCATCGGCCTTGCGCCAGCGCGACAGACAATTGGCCGAGATCAGCACCGTGCTTGCAGCGCGACCGCGCGCTGAAGGATAAGCCCGTTTGCGAGATGCGGCAGGCCGAGGATGATCTCGATCGTCATCGTCTAGCGGCCAGCTAGCTGATAGCTGTCGGCCATTCCGACAATACGCATCACAGATCCTCGCGCAGCATGAGCGTGAGAACACGGCGCGTGATGCTGGCGTCGGCGGATCTTCCGATCCCCATTCCAGCGCCACGTCATAATAATCGATACGGAAGTGTATCGTCTCGCCTGACAGCTCGAACTGGCCGCGATCGCGCTCGGGACAGTCGGCGGGGAAAGTGTAGCGGCGCAGCGCCTGCAGGACATGCGCTGGGCGACGGCTTCCGAGGCGAGCGTGCCGTTCGACAGCGCGCCGAGGCACGCGCGCGTCATGACGATCTTCGCGGTGCGGTCAGACCCCTGGCGGCAACGGTCGTTGAGCGGCCACGGCTTCGAGCGCGTTTCGGTGGCGGTCGAAATCATGTGATGATCCTCCGTTTGGTCGATAGCGATGGTGGCGGGGGACTTCAGGCGGCGAGCGCGTCGCTTCGTCCCCGGCCTCGTTGGGAAAGGCCGCATGGAAGCGGTCGAGCCAGTCGCCCATCGTCGGGCGCTCGCCGAGCAGGATGACGGCCGCGACATCTGGAACCGGATGAGGTCGAGCGGCGCATCGCGGATGATCCGGTCGATCTCGTCAGCCGGCAGGAGGTGCTCGTCGCGGATGAAGGCGGTCATCGATCCCGGGCGCGCGCGGGTCGATCTGCGCCCAGGCCTCGACCGTGTGCAGTCGCGGGCGGCGCGTGCCTCGACCAGCACGATGAGTCGCAGGCACCATTGCGGGGAGGCCGCGGATTTCGCTCGGATGGTTGGCGATGCACAGCCAGCACGCCGATTTGGGTGGCACCAGCAGACCCTCGGCTTTGGATGCGGGCGACGCAGTCAGGCCGGTCCCATCGCCATTCGCGCAAAGGGGTACTCGCAGTCGTACAGCGGATCGTCGATCGACAGCATGGTTGGCGCGCGCGGTGTCGCGCGGTCCGGCGTCATAGCCGATCAGGCGAACGACGCGCTGCCCGCGCCCAAGCGTCGACCGCTGGTTGCCGAGGTCGACAGGAATTTGTCCTGCGGGCGCCTTCTTGTATTTGAGGCTGCAACTCGACCCGCCGAGCGACTTTTTTCGGCAGCGTGGCATTGGTCAGGCACATCGATGATGCCGTAATAGGGCGGCCAGTGCTTGAATCGCTTCCGGGACATAGCTGACCAGCTCGAAAACGGATACCGCGGTCGCGCATCGAGGCCGGATCACGTCGAGATATTCGTAGGTCGCCGGTTTCTCGACCGAGGTATCGGCGGTGGTCAGCACGGGTCAGGCGCTTCGCCGCGCGCGTGCTTCTCGATCAGCAGCGCGGTGCTGTCGACGCCGATGCCGTAGGCCCAGCACCACTGGTGGCGGCGGCGCCAGCGGCACGACCGGAACTGGCGCGCCGGTCATGGCGCCTCCTCCGGTTCTAGATAGGTGTCATAGGGCGCACCGGCAGACTCGATCCAGCTACCTCCTCGTCGAGATTCTCGATCCGTGCGAGCAACGCCGCCTTCAGCTGGCGCGCATCGACGTCGTGGCCCTTGTCGTCGTTCGAGACGAGGCTGAAGGCGAGCGTGTAGGCGTGGTTGTAGCGCGCCATGTCGCGTCCTCCGCCGCGGCCTGGGCGCGGCAGGAACCGCGCGGGGCGTGATCGTCACGTCGAGCCGGTCGCGATTGATGACGACGGTGACCGTCCGGTCCTCGGGGACGAAAATAATGCCCCGCCAGCTTGTCGCGAATGCGGTTCTCAAGCGCGGCATCGTCGCCTTCGAGCAGGCCGATGATTCGTTCGGCGGCATCGGCACGGAAGCGCTCGAGCTGCGTATCGTAGCTGTCGGCATCGCTGTCGTCCGCTGGCATAGAAGATCGCGCTTTCGAGGATGTCGGCGACGCCGAGCGCGGTGATTTCGCTGCCCCGGCGGACGAAGACGGACGTCTCGTCGACCGAGTTGCACGACCATTGGTGGGTGCGAAGGCGACATCCGCGTCGGTCGATACCTCGATGAATGCGCCGGCGTGGCTCATCGTCGCCTCGAGCGTGATAGCCTCGACCCAACCGTTTTTCCGCCTCGGCGGGGGCTTCGCGGCTGTCGGAGACGATGAAGGTGCGGTCGCCACAGGTGACGCGGAACCGCATATCCTCGACACGGGCGAGGATATCGTACCAACCATAGCCCTTGAACGCGTCCTGGGCCTCGACCAGCGGACCACCGAACGGATTATGCTTCGCGATCGCCGCCTGCGCGGGTTGGCCGATCAGCGCATCGAAGTCGGGCATCAGCACCATGCCGGTGTCGGTCACGCGTGCGCCGCTCTCGTAGTTGCGCGAGCTGTCGGCCGCATAGGCGGTCCATGCGAACAGATAGGGGCTCGGCTTCGGGTAGTGCGATACCGAGCGAGCGCGCCTCGCGCCAGTCATGCGCCGACAGCCGGTGCGTCCCGCGGCCTCGATCGCGCGGTAGATCGCGAGCCGGACCGCATCGCGCAGGGCGGCGATGCCGGTGTTCTCGACCACTTCCTTGCGCGCCGGGAGGACGAGCTGGATTGCGGCGCGTCGAAGATGTCGACCCGCGCGATCCAGTGGCCGCGGTCGACTTCCTGAACATACGGCAGGTCGCACAGGATGGTCAGCCCGTGGAAGTTGAGGCGTCCGTCGCGCGAGGAATAATGCGAGGGTGTTCTGGAACACGCCGATGCGCACGCCGTACCATTCCTCGACATGGACCGCGTCCTTCAGCCAGTCCTCCTGCGGAAGGACCGCGCCGTTCCAGTCACGGGAACCGGAATGTGTTTGGCGGCGCAGGCCCGTCGCGCTCGAGCGTCTTCAGCCACTCGTCAGGCACGCGCACGGTGATCGCGGTGCCGCGCATGATCGGATCGGGTTCGATCGCGATCAGGCGCTCGTCTCCACGCCGAGGCCGGGATATGCGCCATCCAGCCCGGCGGTCGGGTTTCGAAGGAGCGGATGATGACGTCGCGGCCTGCGGGCTGAACACGCCCATGCCGGTGGATCTTCGGCGCGGCGCGTCTGTCGGACCAGCCGAGCGGCCGAGCGTGACGATACTCACCGGATCGGCGATGCCGTGGCCGTCATCGGTGATGTGCAGGAAGTGCTCGGCGCCAGCGCCGTTCAGCGCGAGCGCGACGCGGGTCGCACCGGGCGCGCGCGCGTTCTGGAGGAGTTCGCAGATGACGTCGAACGCGGTATTGTTGAACAGGCGCGTGACCTTGGCGATCGTCTCGGGGGCGACCGCGGTCGCGATGGTGGCGGGAATCGTGGAGTGCGCTCTCGAAAAGGGGCTCAGGCGTCCGTCACGCCCTCCCCGCTCCCTCTCTCCTTCATCGGCGCATCGGGCCGAGCCTCGTCAGCCTGCCTTGCCGTCGCGGAACGCGCCGACCACGGTGCCCGCGTCCCAGTGACCGCTGAGGATACCGCGACGCGGGACCGAGTTATCGCTATAGCGCCGCGCCGCGAGGAGGTCGTGTCCGTCAACGTGGTGTAATTTCGGGTGTGGCCCGGGCCGCATCAATCAGGCGGCCTTGGGTGTAATCTGTAGCGGCGTCACCTCCTCGATCTGTGGTGTGCAAGAGCGGCCATGCCCTCGATTTGCATGTAGCGGTTCTGGAGCTGGTACTCATCGTTTTGCTCGAGGAGCACGGGCACCAATGAGCCGGTGATGCTGTCTCGTTGGGAAGATGCCCACCACGTCAATGGCGTTTCACCTCTTTGTTGAGCCGTTCGAGCGGGTTGGTGCTGTGTAGCTTCACCCGGTGCTGCTCAGGAAAGGTCATGTAGGCGAGCACGTCGTGCTCGGCGTTGTCCATCTCTGAGCGCCGAGTTTCGGGCCATCTGGCGCGGAGCTGGTCGGCGACATGACGCCGTGTCTGGGTGGCAGCGGCATGGTCTGGCTGGAGGAAGACTTGCCGGATCGCTGCGGCGACCATGGTGTTCTGGCCCTTGGGAACGTGCGCCAGCGCGTTGCGCATGAAGTGGACGCGGCAGCGCTGCCGCGGCCCCGACGACGCGGGTGATGGCGGCCTTCAGCCTCGTGCGCATCGCTGATGACCAACTTAACGTTCCCTTGGCCCGCGCCGGACGAGATCGCGCAGGAAGGTCGACCAGGACGGCTCGGCCTCGCTTGGAGCCGATGTGCAGGCCGACGATCTCGCGCTTGCCCTCGATGGTGACGGCTACAGCGATTATGGCAGCGACGCTGACGATGCGGCCGCCCTCGCGGACCTTGAGATAGGTGGCATCCAGCCAGAGATGCGGCCACTCGCCGGCAAGCGGACGCTTCGGGAACGCGTTAACGCGTTCGTCGATGTCCTTGCACAGCTTCGACACACGCTCGACTTCGAGATGCCGCTCATCCCCATCGCCTGCACCAGATCGTCAACCCGGCGCGTGCTGACACCGGCGATCAGGCTTTCCTGAATGATGCTGACCAGCGCCTTCTCCACCGTCTTGCGGGGTTCGAGGAAGCCGGGAAATAGGCGCCGGTGCGCAGCAGGGATCTTCAGGCGGGCGTGCCCAGCCGCGTGTCCGAGCTGCGTCGCGGTAGCCATTGCGCCACGTGCTGCGCTCGCCTGATCGCTCGTGGCGGCCGGCGCCGATGAGGCCGTCGACGTCGGCCTCCATGATGATCTGCAGCACGCTCTCGGTAACGCTGCGCAGGAAATCGCTGTCTCCGGTCTTCGCCATCAGCTCGGCAAGCGGTAGTCTGTCGTCGGTCATCGGAAAAACTCCTCAGGTTGGTGAAGCTCGACACTTCCACCTTAACCGATGAGCCTGGTGGCCACCGAGACGCCGACGCCGGGGTGGGACCTCGGCCCCACCCGCATACACCGTCATCACCGGAAAGCCCACCACGAGCGCGGACGCTACCCGCGAGGAGCGGAGCACGCCGGGTGTCGCGGGTCGATCGGCGCGCCGGTTGCGATATCGCGGGCGAGGCGAAGCGGCGTCGTGGCTTTTCCTCATCGATTGTGCCGGGGATGGCAACATGGTCGGTGACGCCCGTTCCTGAAGGATCGAGCGCGATAATTTCGGCGAGCGTCCGGGCTGCTGCGCGGTGCGGGGCGACGACGCGGCTCGTGCTTTTCGGCATATTTGTGGACCGCTGGATATTTTGCGACCGATCGCTGCTGCAACATCAGGCAGCGCGACGCCGAAGTCGTGCGCGATGCGCAGCGCCCGGATCCTCTTCGGTCCATTTCCGGTGATAGCCGTGGACAAAGGCCGAGGATGTTCGCGCGCGTGAACAGCAAGCGCAGGTGCGACCCATCTTCGTCACCCGGGGCGTCCATCGGCATCGTGCCGTAAAAGGTCGCGCAACCTTTCCAGATCATTGTGTCGCTCCCACCGGCCGCGGACCCGTCGCAGTTGGCATGTGCCGCGCAACCCGGATAGTCGGCGCGCCAGCGAATAGAGCATTCGTGCGGCCGAGCACGGTCGTGAGCGGGGTCAGGCTTGCCCCGTCGGCATAGGCGCGGATGGGCAGTGTCAATGTCTTCGTCAGGGGGTCGTTGCGGCCCCATCGACCATAGCCGACTTTGCGCAGGTGCGGCCCGAAGGCAGCTGCTGGTCCCTGCGCAGAAAGCCCTCTGTGGCGAGAATGTCGATGATCGCGATATAACGGAAGCCCCTCCCCGACAGCGTCGCCCGTCGCCTCGGCCTCGGTCAGTCAGCGGGCTTGTTGGGATGGCGCAAACCGAGCGCGTTGGCACGGGTCGCGGTGCCGGACGGCGGGCGTCCGGTCAGCGTGGCGATCTGTGCGATCGGGATCGCCTGCGCGTAGCCAGCGCGCAGCTGGGCATCCTCCAATCGCTCCATTTTGGAGATTTCCTTCCGGTCAGCCCGAGCACGCCCCGCAGGCATAGACGCTGAATGCAGGCGCGGCCGGATCTCCAGCGAGATCGGCCGTGGGGCGAAGGCCATATTCGCGGGTGAGCCCATGCGTCTTCGTCGGTCGACCACGGACGCGAGCAATTGCGGCGCAGGCCAGTTTGGCGATCTTGTCACGCACGCCGGCGCGGCCGCGACCGGCGCGGCGACGATGTCGTCGATCAGCGTCGTCGCAGAACATGCGTTCGACCGTGGCGATCTCGTCGGGGGTCGGCATCGTGCGGACAGCATCTCGCGCAGGCGCCCGCACGGCTCAGGCAGCTTCGGACACGCGACCAGCTCGGCGATATCGGGCGCGAGGTCGGTCACAGCGACACCACGGCGACGTCGCTCAGCCGCGCGCGCAGCCCATGCATGCAGGCGAACGATGCGGTCGTCGCCCGCGGGCATGGTGTCGACGCGGCGATCGCCGACAGGAGCGCGCAGTCGGTGCGCTCGGCGTCGAAACGACAGGTGCCGTGCGGAGTCGCGCGCAGTGCTGGCGTTGGGGAGATGCGCTTCAGCGCGTCCATGATCGCGGCCGCGTCGGTCGCAGCGGGATCGAGCAGGAACGCGTCGAGCGCGCGCGCGCGTGCCCGTGGTCCGCAGGCCTCGGGGGAGATCGATCGCCGCCTCATCGGTCGACGGACCTCGGCACTGGTCCAGGGCCCGGATGCGATGAGTGGGATCGATATGCGCCAGCGCAGGGGTTCGCCGGCCTCGTTGCGGCAGGTCGGCATCACGCGCGACAGACGCGCGCGGATGTATCGCAGTCCCGAAGACGTTGAGCCGACCAGCGCGTTCTTGCCGAGATGTTCGGTGATGGCTTTGGGATCGGGCATCGGCATGCGCGACATGCAGTGCAGCAGATGGTTCGATGCACCAGCGATGGTATGCGCCCAGCGCCGGACCCATCGCGAAGATCCGCTGGTCGGGAAGGTCAGTGAGGTCGATGTGCATCGACAGCCGATGTCGCCAGCTGCGCGTCGCCGCGGCCGTCAGCCCGTCGGCGGTGAGTTCGACCCGCGGATCGTGGTCGCGATATGGCGGGCGAGTTCTCGAATTCCCCCTCGGGGTCGACGATCGCAAGCGTCGTATAGTCGAACGCCTCCTCGATGATCCGGCGCAAAGGTCCTGCTCTTGCCGCCCGGGCTGCCACTGATGATGAGCAGGCGTCCGGCGGCAGGCGATCGAGGTCGAGGCTGAGCGTGCCGGTCAGATGATGGCCGAGCGGTACGCGATTGTCCGCAACCTCAGGCGCGCAGATCAGGTGACACAGGTCATGGCGTGGTCCTCGGGTCAGGCGGCGTCGGCATCAGGGGCGCCGGATCGTTGCTGGGATGGCGGGAGCGTCGGGATCGGGAGCAGGCGCACCATCGGGCGTCCGCCATTCCGAGCATGTCGTCGCTTTCGCTCGCAGTCACGGCAGGTGGTGGGATCGTAGGTGCTGAGCAGCACCGAGGCCTGTTCAGGCTCATCCGGGCCGCGACGGCGTCCTTGGTGACGTTGTCGCTGCCGCAGTCGTCTTACACCGGCCGGCCGGGGAGGCGGCAGGCGAGCACAAGCGATCCCCGGTGCAGATCGACCAGTCACCGTAGAATTTGCCGTCGTAGGAAAAAAAAGCAGTCGCCGGATTTGGCTGAATGGCGTGTTCGCCGTAGCCGTCGTGGAAATGAATTTCCGAATTCGGGAAGAACTTTTCCGGGACCGCCTTCGCGCCGCGGATCTTCACCTCGCTGCCGCCGGGTGGTAATGGACATAGTCGAGCGGTCCGATCGCGGGGCCTTCCGCAGCCCCAGTCTTCGACGTCCTCGTCGGGCGTGGCGCGGCCGTGGAACAGATGAGATAGACGCTCATCGTGGCGGTCCTTTCAGGCGCTGGGGAGGAGGTGCGCGAGGCGCGCTCGCGTCGACCTGTTTGGAGATCGGGGCGGTGCTTTCGACGCGGACCGCGTCGAGGCTCTCGAACGTCTCGGGCATCTGGCGGCGTTCGTAACGGTCCATATCGACGAGACCGTGGATCGGCGCGCCCCTCGTGGCGCGCGAAGCCGAACACATCGACGCTGACGACACGGCGGAAGACGCAGCCGACCTTGCCCTCAGGCACCCAGTCCGCCCAGACCCGACGCCGAGACGCTCTCGTACTGGCCGATGATCACCTGATAGGCGGCGCGGCGGCAGACGACGTGGCTGTCGTGGATCGACACTTCCTCGCCGGTCAGCGCGGTCCAGCGGTCGGGATACCAGCAGCGCACCGAACGGCGCGCGTTCTCGACCTGCAGGGGCGATGCCCGGAATGGGCAGAGCGGCGAAACTCGCTGCCGAAGGCGTAAACACCAACGCGTAATCGACGTCTTCCTCATAGTAGGATCGTCGCGGCGCAGCGCCTCGGGCATCATCGCGGCGGCGTTCGTCCGACAGGACATATCGCCATGACTGGGTGTCGATACGCGCCAGATGCCGGGCAGGACTTTGGTCAGCGCGGTCAGGTGCGTCGAGGGGTGTCGTCTCAGGGCGTGGGCTGGGCTGGAACCGGGTCATCTGTCGTCTCCCTCAATGGATTCGACGAATTCCTCTCTCTCCTCCCCTCGGCAGACCGGGATGATGGCGGCAGGCAGGGTCGTTCATGGTGCAGCCGTGACTGGCCCGCACTGGATCGCGCTCACGCGCAAAGTGTTCTCAGTCCTGATATTTCACGACAGGAGATCGATCATGGGTGAAGCAACCGACAAGCTGAAGGCGGCAGGCAACAAGCTGGCCGGCAACGTCAAGAAAGCATCGGCAAGGCGACCGATAACGCCAGTCTCGAAGCCGAGGCAAGGCGCAGAAGGTCAAGGGCGCCAGTCAGGACGTCAAGGGATCGGTCAAAGGGCGCGCTCGGCGACGATATCGACCCCGACCTTCGATGACACGATCAGGCCGCTTCGGGCAACCGGGCGGCCTTTCCTACGCGCCGGGAATCCGGGATTTCGAGCGCCACCGCTGAAGATCGACGCGAAGGCTGCGCGGGCGCTCGGCTGGCCGTGCCGCGACCACGGTCATCAGATCGCATCGCACCCCCGTGGACGCCTCGCGCCGCGCGCCTGATTGCAGCGCAGATGCGCTGACCAGGCCGTTCGACAGCGATCGCCGTCCACCCGCGCTGCGCAGCGTGACATGGTCGAACGTCGGGTAATCAGGGATGATGGCGGGCAGGCGCCGCGGGCTCGGCAAGGGGCATCCGCATCCGGCACACAGCGACGACTGCCCAACGCAGGATCCGCCGCTGGTTTCTGGCTTGGGTGGTCGATGCCATGATGCGAGAATGGTGGCCCTGGTTAAATTCCTGCCAACGACGTCATCCGATGTGCAGCTGGTCAAGCACGGCGGTTTCGGACTGTCGCCTTCGAGATCCTCGGCATGGATCGTCACGACGGGGGGCGATCTCGCGAAGTTTTCTCGACGGCGCAGCTTCAGCCCGGCGCATCAGCGTCTCGTCGCCGGTGACGACCTCGAGCGCCGCCTCGATCACCCTCGCCGGTGGTGAAATCACGCAGGTCGAGAAGGAGGTCTGGACGCATCTCGCCGATCGACGTCGCGATATCGAACGGAGCCGCTTGAACCCGACGCCGATGCCGCGCCGGCAAAGCCGGTACTGGAGATCGAGCAGGCCGACGATCGTCTTGCGTTCGGCGAGATTGTGGATCGCGACGAAATTGGCGGGGGCGCGCGATCGGCTGCGCATAGGCGCGCAGGCACCATAGCCCTCGCGCGGGTTGTGCTCGCCGACGACGGCGGGACCAGATGCGGCGGTCGATGTGGCGCTGGTGGACGCCGATGTGGCGGATGCGGTTCTTGACGATCAGCTCGCGCCCTTCGGCAAGCGTGATGGTCGAGCCGGGACGTCGATCGCATACAGGAGGAGGAAGGCCTGCGGGGCGTGCTCGCTCGGCCATTTCTTCGCCGCCTCGCGCAGTTTCGCGAACACGACGCCGCGTTCATAGGGGTCGATATGGGTGTAGAGATGGCGCGCGAGCAGGATTGCGGTGCGATCTGGACCCGCTCGGCCGCAGCGCTGTCGCCGCGAACTCGCTCGCCATCGATGTCGTGCGGCTCGCCGACCTCAGTGGATTCGACGACGTTGACCTGCGCCATTTCCATCAACTGCCACAGCAGGCGCGCGAGGCGCGGGGATCGCGACGCCGCGGGTGCGATCGTCAGGTTCGCTGTCATCGGGGAGCTGCGCCAGCTTCTCGAGGGGCGAGCCGGTGCGCCGGAACAGCCCGTCGGGCTCGTTGATCGTGCGCGGGGTGGTGGTCGCCTTCTCGCGGATGCGGGCAGCGCCTGCTCCCGGAAGAACGGGCAGTCGACGTCATGTTCAGGGGCGACGCTGGCGGATGCTGGTGAGCCGGCGCAGGTAATAGGTTTCGGCTTCGGAGATAGGCCGGCGAGGTAGCGGCAGGTCCGTCCCCCGGGCAGTCGCAGGCTATCCACTGGTGATGATCGCGTGCCTTGACCACCATGATGACCGAGGCGCGGTGATCGCTGTCCTCGCCTTCGCCTGTGTACCAGCGCACCAGCGCCTCGCGCACCACGTCGGGTACGGGCGAGCGCAGGTAAGACCCGGGTATCGCGTGGGACCAGCCACATGGTGGTGAAGCTGCTCCATCCCACATTTCCCAAGTAAGGCGCTGATTTCGCTGTCCTGACCATTATATTTCCCTATAAAAAACATGGTGTTGAAGGCTGCGAGGGGCGCGTTTCATGGATCACCCAGAGGGTGCGGGCTTGCAACGGGCAGATCGGGTGGATTTCGACCCTCGCGTGCGGCTGGAATTTCGCGGCACAGCTCAGTTCCGACGGCGGCCTTCTGGTGATGCGCCGGAAGCTTGATGACGCGCTCAGGTTGTCGATTTGGCGTCAGCGGCGCTGCGCGATACTCGCTCTGGCAAGAACACGGTCCATCGGCTCGACGGCCTGTTCCGGCAATCAGTCTTTGGGCGGCTGGCCGGATACGAGGATGTCAACGACGCCAACCGTCTCGCCTGCGATCGGTCATGCGCCAAGTTGTCGGCGGCAGAGCGGTCGATGCACAAGCGGCCTCGGCATCGCAGATGGGACGGTTCGAGACCGAACGCTGGCTCTGGCCGGGAACCGTGCCGCGCTGGCCGACCTGAACGGGCAATGGATCGACCAGTTCCATGACCGTAACGGGCTGAAGTACATCGTTCTGGACATGGACAGCTCAGTCAGCCCGACCCATGGCGACGGAAGGTCCGCACGGAATGGCCATTTCGACTGTAGCTGCTATCACCCCAACTTTCTGTTCAACCAGTTCGGGATGCTGGAACGCTGCGCCCCTGCGCCAGCAGCAACGTCCACAGCGCCGATGGCTGGCGTGATGTTCTCGACCCCGTCATTGCGCGCTACGCGGAGCGACGACAGTGGCAGGTTCTTCCGGGCCGATGCTGCCCTACGCGATCCCGGCGATCTATGAGCGATTGGAAGAAGCGCGGTTCTTCTACGCCATCCGGCTGCCCGCAAACGCGGTCCTCAAAGGACAAGATCGCGCATCGGCTAACGCGCCCTGTCGGGCGGCCGTCACTGACAAAGGTCAAGCGGTTCTTCGAGGAATTCGGTATCAGGCGGCGTCTGGGACAAGGAACGCCGGGTGATCGCCAAGATCGAATGGCATCCGGGCGAACTGTTCCCGCGTGTCGGCTTCATCGTCACCAACCTGCCGATGGAGCCGGACTGAATAATTGCAGTTCTACAACCAGCGCAGCACCGCCGAGCAGCACATCAAAGAGGGCAAAATACGCCTTTCGCTGGACGCGGCTGTCGTGCCGGAAGTTCCGCGACAATGAGGTGCAGCTGCAACTGCACGCCTACGGCGTACAACGGCCACCTTCTTGCGCTGCATCAGGCTGCCCGAGGGCCATGGCCGACTGGTCGTTAACCAGCCTGCAGCTGAAGCTGATCAAGATCGGGGCGTGTGGTCCGTCACGCCCATCATCACCTTCCAGCTGGCCGAGGTCGCTGTCACCGGCGATGGTACGCGCCATCCTCGCCGCTATCCGCCGATTACGAGCGCCACCGCTATGCACATGATCGCGATCCACGCTCAAACTGAACGAAAGCGGCTGGACAGATCATCACTGCTACTGAAAAACACCGCCCCGGAGCAGGGAAACAGCAGCTTCGCGGTCTGAATCGTCAGACCCAACAGTCTGCGCGACCGCAGGTGCCGCCGCTTGCGGCGAAAATCCTTAATCTGGCGCTCGGATACAGGCGATCTTCACCTCAAACGACACGCCACTTGGGGATGCAGGCTCATTCATACCGGGTTCCTTTTCAATATTCTGGTCAGGGGCTGGGTTCTCCAGCTCGCACGGGGCGTGTTTGACACGGTGCGTGCGCGCGCAGCGGCAAGATCGTTCTGCGCTGCTCTTTCGCTGCTGGGCCGTTTTTGCCCGCCATCCCGAGTATTCGATATCGTGTCAGGCTGGTTCTGCGGACGGCGGGGTGATCGGGGCGGGGTGATCGGGCGACAGCCGTCGCAGGATGAATAGCGAAGCGGAGCCGATGCAGTTCCGCAAACACCAGTGAAAAAGGGGGGCCAGCTATGGGCAGGGATCGGATATGTTCGTCGCCGCGCTTGAGAACGAAGGCGTGGATCGTGTCTTTGGCGTGCCGGCGAAGAGAACCTCGATCTGCTGGGATCGCTCAGGACCTCCAGCATCAGACTGGTTCTGACACGTCACAGCAGGCGGCGGCTTTCATGGCGGCGACATATGGCGGGCTTACGGGCAAGCCCGGCGTCTGCCTCGCCACGCTGGACCAGCGCCTATGAACCTGTCAGCCGGGCCGCATATGCGCATCTGGGCGCAATGCCGATGATCCTCATCACGGGCGAAGCCGCTGATGAATGGCAAGCAGCGCGCGCTTCCAGATCGTGGATATCGTCGCATCGATGAACCGCGCAAAAAGATGACGCGCCAGATCGTCAGTGCCGCCAGCATACCTGCCATGGTGCGCGACGCTTTTCCGGGTCACCCGACCGAGAAGGCCGGTCGGTGCATCTGGAACTGCCGGATGTCGCGGCGGAAGAGGTCGTAAGTTATCCCGGTCATCTTTTCCGCATGCGCCGCAGCCGCCTGTTGCCAGCGCCGCATCATTGGA